AGCCTGATAATCATCCTTCAGATCAGGTGTGTTGGAGCAGAGGAACAGGTAAAACCTGCAGGGCTGCGGCCCTCCAGGACCAGGACTGACCACACCTGGTTTAAAGGGATTCTCCTAATAAACAGGAAACGTGTCTTCTGAGACACTAATGAGATTTCAGGTGAGGAGACACTGTCCCTCTGAAAACCCGGAGCCGGTTCAGTCCTGGACTCACATTCAGGTGGGAGTTCTGGATGTCCAACGCTGAGCACATGTCTGTGAAGTAGTCCAGGTTCTTGTCGTCCAGCAGGATGTAGACGGGGACTCGTCTCTTGTTGGACGCCTCCATCAGGTCACACAGCAGGTCCACGTCAGTGAAGACGTCCATCACCAGAGCGATCACCTGCAGGGACGAACCAGAACTGCTGTTTCACCTCCTTCATTTCCTCCACGTTTAACTTGACCTTACAAAATAAGAGTCTGGCTCTGGAGATTACAAAAATAAAAGCCTAAATAAGAAAACAAATGTTTCTATTCTGAGCAACAGCTGCAGCTGATCTCTTCCTGTCCAGCTGTGACTCAGATCCAGAGTTTTTCTTGGAGCAACAAGTTTTTAAAAGTGAAGTTTTCAGCCTGAAGAGAAACAATGTGAGGAAACTGGACAGGAAGTGACAGAACTAAGACCGTCTGCAGCAGGTGAACATCGCGCCTCTTCCAGATCAAATCTCTTTTTCAGTATTTTTTTGAAGGAAGAACTTCAAACGTCTCCGCGACCAGATGAACCAGTTTTTGGGCCCCGGGGGGGATCAGTGAGGCCTCCAGTTCCCATCATGCACAGCTCACATGACAGTGTTACAGAAACCAGAACATGAAGTGTCTGCTCTGTTCATCAGGAGCAGAAATATCATGGACTTCCTGTATGTCAGCACTTCCTCTAACGAGGATTCAGGGACAATCAAAACCCCACCCTGTCGTTTCACCAGTCCCAGAGGACCGGAGAGGAAAACAAAACAAAGACATGCTGTCCAAATCTCTCAACAAATAACCTCTGACATAGAGCTGGGCGATATGGCCCAATCCCAAATTCAATTTTCGATTTTAATCGATTTTGTTCCCACTTAACTGAGTGCCTCTAGCTGTGTTTCCATTGACCATGRAAATGCRCAAATTAGAATTTCGAAAGTAAATTTGCTCAATGGAAACACGTCAATTTCGGAAAAAAATTACGTTTTTCGACAAAATGTTTTTGCACTAGGATGAGGTGGTTTTTCGGCCGTATCGAAATTGGTGTATTTCGCAAAACTGCAATGGAAACACTTTTTTCACATCACAGGAGTCACGTGATCAACAACAGTCTGTTTCTACTGGTGAAAAAGACGATGATGAAGAAGATAACAGGAAGTAGAAGTAGTAGTAATATCACAGAAGTAGTATAAAATAGTAACTGAAACTCTCAGACTGAAGAAGTCTCTTGGAGGAGAGACGAAACGTTTCATTAAAGAAGAACCCGTCCAGAGGACCTATACAATTTTTTTCCTTTTGATTTTTACTGTATTTATTCATGTATAATACTAGAACTTTAACCCTAAAAATCATCCATAAAGTGAGGAGATAGTAAACACGGTTATTGATTAAATTTTTAACTTTGTAAGCTCAAAAAATAATCGTATTAAATATGAATAAATACGGTAATTTGTTGTTCTCCTGGTTTTTGTAGCAGGAGCCTCCAACAGATTTAGCAGTGAGGTGTTTGTTGCTCCAAGTCTGAGCTTGTAAACCTGAACCAGTTCCAGAAAACTGAAGAAACTGTGACTTTTTGAGAAGTAGATCCTCTCTGCCAGCTGCCATGTTGTCATGTTGTGTACCAGGTGTCTTGAGGGACAGGTGGGCTGACCTCTGAACTACAGGAAACCACAGAGTGCACTGGTGGGAAAAACATCCTGATTTTCCCAAAATTAAATCTTTATAAATGGAAAATTCAAATTAATCGATTAAATCGATTTAATCACCCAACCCTACTCTTTGACCTGCTGACTGAGACCTGTAGAGACTGAGATGAAGTTCATTGCACAGTCTGACCTTCAGGGTGAATAATCTGCAGAAGAGTGATCTTAGACTCTTCTCAGATTGACGGCAGCAGCTCTGTGGTGTGTTACCATGGAAACACACACCTGTAGCTGCAGGTGGAGGCGGTCCCACAGAGAGACGTGTGGATCCAAACATATCTGACAACGTTCAGCTTTATTAAGTTCTTCTAAAGTAACAAAGCTGCTGATGACGGACTGTGTTTACTGACCGTTCTTCTCTGCAGCGACTGAGTTTTTCCACTGCAGGAGGTCAAAGTTCACCTGGTGAAAGGTAACAGGTGACGTCAGGTGACCAGCTGCAGACACACACAACCTGAAACCCTCCTGCAGCATCTCCTCTGGTGCCCAGCTGCTCAGACTCCTCAGCAGGTGTATTAATAGCCAGAGAAACAGGAAGTGAGTCACAGGCAGCTCGTGCTGAACCGGACCGGACCGACTGCAAACAAACCCACTGAACCTTTGATGTGGCTGTTCTGAGAGCAGCTGCAGGAGCACACACACCTTCACTCTGCAGCACACACAGGGTTAATAACAAACCAGCAGGAGCTGTTTACTTTCTGAGCCGCCATGTGACCCGCCTCTGAACGCCACCTGGACCCGACGCAGGAACACAACTACAAAAGTTCTGATGGACTCAGCAGAAAACACTTCAGAAAGACAAAAATACCTTCAAGGAGGGAAGCAGCAACGTCAAACATGCACAACTCATTTCAAACAAAACCTCAAAACAATTTAAAAATAAAAAATCCCACAAAACTTCAAAAACACTAAACTTCAAAAACATTAAATAACAAAAAAGTTCAAACACTAAACTTCAAAATAAATAAATAAAAATCACTAAACTTCAAAAACACTAAATAACATCTAAAAACAAAACAAAACACTAACTTCAAAAACCACTAAACTTTAATAAACACTAAACTTCTAAATTAATTAATTAATTAATTAATTAAAAAACCACTAAACTTCAAAAACATTAATCATTATGTTCTTCATCTCATAGCACCAATAACAAACACTAACTGAGCTCTACCTGGTGTTTCCTGCACAGAAACAGTCAGCTTATAAACACTGAAAAGTAACTACAAGTACGACTGGGTAAATGTGAAAAAAATAAAATAAAACAGAATTACTAATAAAAGTTAAAGTTAGAGTTCTGGTGAGAAGCTGCCATCTTGAATTCTGAACTCTCCCACTTTCCTACAGGGAATTCCCATGTAAAATCAACATGCATTATGGGAGATGTAGTTTATGCTCACTGCTGTCTTTAAAGCAGATTATTTTAAGACATTAAATCTGTACTATCCAACTAAACCCAGTAACTTAAAGACAACAGCTCAGAAGCAGGAAGTATTACTATCTTTTTTTTTGTATTACTATCTTTTTTTTGTATTACTATCTTTTTGCTTATTTTATTGCCTTGAGTTTGACGCGCGTCATAGATTACAAAACTACCTCATTTTATTTAACTACCTGACAGATTATTTAACTTCCTCACAGATTACTTAATTAGCTGACAGATGATAACCTGTGATCCAAGATGGCGGCAGGTGTGGGTGTGTCCTGGTTGTTCATGCAGTCAGGAGTACAAGGTCAAATATTTTTTATAATTTAACTACATCTGCAGACTTTGTGCTACTTCAGCTGTTCATGTATCAAAACATTTGGCTCATTCAGGACATGACTGCACTTTCATATTATTAGCTTGTGTTGTGCTCCTTTTTAGCTTCCAGCTAGTGTTGTGCTCCTTTTAGCTTACAGCTAGTGTTGTGCTCCTTTTAGCTTACAGCTAGTGTTGTGCTCCTTTTAGCTT